AATGTCCATGAATCTTGGGTCTCCTTAGGTGTATTTCAAATCATCCAGTTCATACAAGACGATGAAGTACGTTGAAGTTGAAAAAACAAAAGGTTTGAGTGTTTTTGTCAATGTGCGGTTCAAAAATACACCCGCCGTTTGAATACTTTTAATGTGATTAAATGAAATAATTTAGTTGCCGAGAAAAAGTGGCGCTTAATTATCGCTGAAACAATAGAGTAAAACAATCAAATGTACACACATCAGTACTTCAAACTGTTTAATCAATAATTACCCAATTTTCTCTTTTCGTATTAGCCCAGTTAAGCTAGCTAAGTCGGAATGAGTACCAAGAAATGTGACCTCTAAAATAATGTTTAATCTGCGTCGATGGAGACGGCGCGGTCCTTATTGCTATCTTACCCAGTTGTAATTAAGTTAATTGTAGAGTTTACAATCAAGATGTAAACAGGCATTGAAAACAAACAATTGTCAAATGACATTCAAAATCTCTTTTAACAAAGAAAATGACAATTAGTGAAACGGTACTTGATCAAATTCTGCGTACAAATAATAATTAAAAAAAAAGATTCATCTTCATCCAAATAAAGAGGTGTATGTCTCCTTCCTTTGGTAGAGTGTCAGTTTGTAACGAGGATACTAATTCAATGAGAAAAGGCGGGGAGAACAGAAGGGTTAAGCTAAAGAGGGACAGGGTCAAATCTCGTGAAAACAGTACTATTATCACTTTGTCGAGCATTGTGGCACATTTTTCGGGCTAAAATGGAAAATTTGGCGAAGTTAAAAAAAGAGCCATTAAAATGTGAGAATCAAACAATTGTACAATGTAAGCAGCCAATTAAAATCGGGGATCTTTAACCATGTTCGCACCCCTTTCTTAAAGCGTTGGTGAAAGAATTCAGGGCGCGATCTTTGAAAGTCCATATAATGCTTGAAAATGAGGAGTTATTTTGATAAAACCGAGACGGAAAAGAAAATGTTTTTACGAAATTTCAGGTTGTCATTTGGTCAGTTTCTTGAAAAATTGCTCGTGAAACACAGCCACACAAAAGGATTTAAGCGTTCAGCAGATGGCATAGCGCGCCTCTGCCGTTTATGAATAATCTCGTGTTCGGCTGACGGATGCGTATCGTTGTTGGTCATTTAACAGAATATTGGAAAGGCACGTTTCCCACGCGAATCAAATATGTAAAGACTGCATGAATTGAAAGTTCCATCTTTGAGCGTTTTTGTTAATGTATGGTCCAAAAACACCGTCGTTTGGACAGTTTTAACGGACTTGATTGAATTATAATAAGCTGCCGAAAAAAGAGGCGCTTAGTCATCGCTTAAAGGCGCTGAAACCTTAAGTACTGAAGAGTTAAACTAAAGAGGGACAGGATTATAGGATCTTGAAAGGGTGAAACGGGTAAACGAAACACCTTCAAGAATGTTTAGATAGACAATGGGAGTCGTGAATACCTGGTCACTGGTGGCTTAAATTTAATGAGGATTATTTTAATGTTTGAAGGGATTTGGAAAAAAAAAACTGCTAAGCGACTTGAAAGATCGTTCGTAAGAACACAGCCACAAAAAAGGATTTAAGTATTCAACAGATGGCTTAGCGCGTCTCTGCCGCTTACGAAGAATCTAGCGTTCTGCTGACGAATTAGCATCGTTATTGGTCGCTCAACGGAATGGTGGAAGAGCAAGTTGTGCAATGCGAATCAAATATGCAAAGATTGCATGAATTAAAAGTCCCATATTTGAGTGTTTTTGTCAATGTGCGGTCCAAAGACACTATAGCCTTGGTGAAGAATTCACGGCGGTGATCTTTCAAAGCCCAAAGAATGCTTCAAAACTTAGAATTCAGTTTGTAACGAGGATACTAATTCCACGAGAAAAGGTGGGGAGAACAGAAGGGTTATGCTAAAGAGGGACAGGGTCAAATTTCGTGAAAACAGTGCTATTATCACTTTGTCGAGCATTGTGGCACATTTTTCGGGCTAAAATGGAGAATTTGGCGAGGTTGAAAAAAAGTCATTCAAATGTGAGAATCAAACAATTGCACGATGTAAGCAGTCAATTAAAATCGGGAGCTCTAACAATGTTCGCACCCTTTTCTTGAAGCGTTGGTGAAAGAATTCAGGACGCGATCTTTGAAAGTCCATATAATGCTTGAAAATGAGGAATTATTTTGAAGATAAAACCGAGACGGAAAAGAAATTGTTTTTACGAAATTTCAGGTTGTCATTCGCTAAGTTTCTTGAAAAATTGCTCGTGAAACACAGCCACACAAAAGGATTTAAGCGTTCAACATATTGCTTAGCGCGCCTCTGCCGTTTATGAAGAATCTAGCGTTCGGCTCACGGATACGCATCGTTATCGGTCGTTTAACGGAATAGTGGGAAGGCACGTTGTCCTACGCGAATCAAATATGTAAAGATTGTATGAATTGTTCTATATTTGAGTGTTTTTGTAAATATATGGTCCAAAAACACCCGCTGTTTAGATAATTTTTGATGCGATTAAGTTGATTGATTTAGTTGCCGGAAAAAAGAGGGGGCTGAATCATCGCTGAAAGGCGCTGAAACAATAAAAAAGAACAATCAAATGTAAACACATCAGTGCTTCAAACTGTTCGTACTCGTAATCAATAAATGCCTATTTTTCTCTTTTCGCGCTATCCTATTGACATAGTTAAGTCAAATGAGTCAGAATAAGTACCTTGAAGTGTGACCTTTAAAAAGAATGTTTAATTTGGATCGACAGCGACGGCGCGGTCCTTACTGCTTTCTCACCCAGTTGTAGAAACAGACAAAGGGCAAATGATATTTAAAATCACCTTTCACAAAGAAAATGACAATTAAAGAAACGGTGCTTGATCATATTAGCGAACAAATAATAAAAAGAGATTCATTTGAAAAGGATTATGTCTGGTATCTTCGGTAGAGTGTCAATTTGTAACCGGGATACTAAGTCAATGAGGGGAGGCAGGGAGCACTGTGCTAAAGGGTTAAACTAAAGAGGGACAGGATCATAGCATCTGGAATTGATTGAGCTATAATATCACAAGAACTATCTGATGACTTTCATTACGATAGAAGGTTCTTTGCGCAAGAGTCACAAGTTTTGATTGAAAGTCTGGCGTGGAACGTTTCGCCGGTTCGTCCTATATGTCTTCATCTTGATCGGCCAAAATTTATCCGTACACAAACCTGTCTGATTTCTATTCATTATAGCCCTCTTACAAACAAAGCTCGACTGTTGACCTAGAATTCGACCAAAATATTGACACGGGTATAATTTCATACTTCCAACACGTGGAAGCGACATAAATATTGATTAGTTTGCATTCGCCTTTTTCTTTCCTAAATTACGTTTACATATAAGGGGAAGATTTCTTATACTGTACTTAACAAACGGTTTGATAGTAATATTGTGTCTGGCATCCAAAATACCAAAGGTGTGTTTAGTACGAGTTTGTACAGCAATCCCAAATTAATTTAATAATGCCATTTATCAATTGCGGTAGAAGATTAGAGTTAAATATAACATAGACGGACCAATATATCATGATATAGTGCAGGAAGATATTGGTAGCGTTTAAGTTCGCATGAATTGCATCGAGAACAGCTTGGAAAAGCTAGCTCGTACTCACTTTGAGCTCACGGTTTTGTCTCAAACTGAGGCGTTACATCTCAATTGCAGTTAACACTCGTCGGTTGCTGCCTTAGAGATCGGGTTTTTGTTCCACCGTAACAACTGCTCCAGGATCCCCAACTAGCTCAGGGACAGTTATCCTCGGAACACGTTTTGGGAACTATGTTTGCAGAGGTAAGTAACACGAGGAAAAACCCGATGAAGATTTCTGGTTTTTTTCATCACGCTAAATGTAAATTGTAAATTCAGTGTCCTCTTTTAACGACCAACTGCTGGCTTATATCGGCCTTTGTGTTACTCTTGGCCCGAATAAATAATGGTTAAGACGAAATTAACCCTCCTTAACTAATTTGAAAAAGGTAGCTTAGTGGCTCTATAGAAACCCGAACATTTCTGCAAATATTGGAGTGTCACTCTTAATCAAGGGAATGTTGTTAGCTGTCTAAAATATTCCCCCACACTTGACCACATACGGGATTAGCACACCGGACAGACTGCTTTAGGTTTGAGTTTATATTCACCTACCCGTCAGCAATCTACAACTGCAAAGGGCTCATATAAGAATTAGCTGAAAGGCATGGTAGACAGACTTTTAAGATAGTGAGCTGGAACTAGATATCATCACTTTGTTATGTCATATTGGGCAAACCTCACCTAAAACCGAATAGATCTCTAACTCTTCCCTTTGTTCCAGAGTTCAGGCGGATAAATTTTAGGCCTTCTCGGATTGATCAAAACATTCTGCTTGGCAAGCTGTAGGACATACAAGCAAGAAATCCCGTTATCATCAGAAATGCACAATATGAGATGTCTTTAAGGAGGGCATAAGGATTTTACGAGGTTGTGACTCATTTTTTGCGATCTTCTCGGAACATTCGATGCCAAAAGTACTGGTTTGTAGCACAGAAATGTCACAAATCACGTTTCGTAGGCGTGTTAGTGGTTACTTGAAATCAGCTGCATGACTTTTCGTTATTTTTGTATCCGATTCCTTATGATCTTCCTTTTTGTTAACGATTCTCGTGTGAAAAATTGTTTCACAGTTTGTTCGTTCAAACCGTCAAATCTTTATCTTTAGGTGTATTTCAAATCATCCATATCTTAAGAGACGATTAAGAATGTTGAAGTTGAAAAAAAAAAAAAAAAACTAAAAACAAAAACCAAAGCAAAGACAAACGAACAAAAAGAAGAAAAAAAATACATGCAAAGCCACTGAATGACTCATTTGTTAGCCACTTTTCCATTGCTTTTAGTCCTTGAGGTTTGATAGTGATCTCAAACATATCCCTCAAAATTGTACAGAAACTACTGCCTTTTTCTCTTTTGTTTTATTTATTACATAAAAATCCAAGCGACAATTATTTTTAATATGATGGTCTAATCTGATTTTAGTCTTATGATGACACTCTGGTGTTTTATAAAAATGAGAACAAAAATTCAGAAAATCCGAGGGCTTCAAGAAATCTTTAACTTATTTAACCTCTAATACGTTGGCGCGTATCACGCTAGAAACTAAATACACGTTACTGGTTGATCAAACGTTCAAAAATCTAAACAGTAGAAGTCTCCTTGTTCTAGGTACTCTTCGTTATCAACTGAAACCAGTCTTGTCGGCGGGGATGCACTTTGGGTAACCAAACCAGCAGGATTGCGTGACTCAACTGTAACATAAACAATGTCACCATCAAACAAAGCGCTAATGTTAGACAAAGGAAGTGTAATGTTTGTCACCAAGCCAACATCTTGGAACTGTAATACGTCTGTGGCATTTGGATGTTTACCAACTGCTACCCGAAATCCACTGACTTCAGATTCGAGATCATTAAAGCCGAACCAGTGAACGCGCATTGTTTTGTTAAACAGGTGACAACTGGAGTGTAGGCCAAAAACGTCATGGGTACGATCGTCACTCACAATTACCGAGCCCTGCGGAGTATGAAAAAAAATTGCATTCAGTTGTATCCACTAGTACTTCATTGACTTGCGAAATAGGGCTTATTTTTTGGTCCATGCAATGATAAATACAGGTTGGGCTTATATAAAATCAGGAGTTATTTACAGCGTAACCATTGAAAATAATTCACCAAGTTGTTGTCATTATTACTCGCTGAGCTTAAGCGCATTATTTTTTTTCTTCCTACTTTTTTTTAACAAGAGAGCCCGAGGTAATTTAAAGTGCATTTTCGTTTATAAAATGTTTCTCTTTCAATAGCGTCAAGAATTTACGGAAGATTGTTAATTTGGAAATTTGTGCTCGTTAAAAAAAAAAGTCCCTACCACCCTTCCTAACAATTAACTCATACCTTTGACGGCGGAGTATCATCAACAATCACTGCAGACGATAGACTCTCTGCAATAAGTCCAACGTTGTTTTCACATCGTACCAATGTGAAATAACTTTGGCCTGGGACTAACAGAAGACCAGTGGCCTTTACAATCATACTCAAGCCATTGCTAATAAAGTGTGTCAAAAAGTCAGTGCTGTTTCTTATTGCAAAGCTACATAGTCTGATACCACTTTCACCATCTTCGACACTGGTGATATTCGACAATAGAGTACAGTTTGAAGTGCAAGATGTTACATAAAACTGAGGTACTATTTCGCCGAGGTAAGGGGCTGTCAAATCAACTGTCACACCAGTTGTTGTCATTACGGTGAAAAGGCCAGCACCGTTTGTTACTCTGATGCTAATATAGTAAGTTCCATTATTAGTTACATGGCAGTCTGTACACGACACTTGGGTTGAATTTGCAGCAATTTCTGTCATATACTTTATTTGACATCCTACAGGCAGTGTTCCAACGCAAAATTCAGTTCGGCTTATTTCACTCTCTTGGTCCTGTGATTTCCATGACGCGTGCAGATTCCTTGAAGGACCAATCCAAGGGCTTAAGCCCGTTGTGACCTTGGCGGAAAGTTATAACGCACAGATATGTAAATTTACGGGGAATTGTAGAAATTGCAGAGAGAACCTATGTGCTTACTGTGTGGGAGTTGCAGGTCTGCGAGAGCAGGTAACTGTATGTTCAGTTTAATGTATCGTACTTCAACACATCTCACATTACCTCTTGAATGGTGACGTGCTTTGAATGAACCCGCATCTAACGAAGCTAAGATAATCGCTCAGTCCAGTGAATGTAAGGGGCCCTAAATTAAAATACGAAAAACAAAGAAACACTTTTTAGGATAATTTTACCTCCGTTAGTTCAGGAGGAGTGGCGTCGACTTCGAAGCCATCAGAGGAAATATGTGATGTCATTCCAGCTCCATTTTTAGCTTGCACTGTGACGTAATACCGTACACCATGAGATAACGACAAATGCATTGCCTTCGCGGATAGCTTTTTTCCGACGGTTGTAAAATTCATGGCGTCTGTAGCCTCAGGGACCGTTCCTATAGCCCAACAGTATTCCACGACTCCACTCTCTTGATCCTCGAAGGGAGTCCATACTGCTTCTACCGAGCTCGTTGATGACTGATAGCCAACGTCAGCAAGAAGAGATGAACCATCGTAGACAAGTCCAGCCTTGGGTGGGGTAAAATCTACGATAACACCATCAGACGAAGAAGTACTTCTGAAACCATCACCATTTGTGCACGTGATTTCACTGATGTATCGAGCTCCTGGAACAAGGCTAAGATTTGCCTGTGTAAGGTTCCCTTCGCTTTCTACTGCTGTCGTGAACACCAGAGTTTCATTTCCAAATAAGGACCTGTCATCTGAGGGTGTCTGCTCGACAATTGCCCAAGAGCAGCTAACCACACCAGACTCTTCATCGTCGATGCCTCTCCATGCAACCGACAAGGCATTCATGGAATTCACAAAATCGATATCCATGCTTATTCCATCAATAACAGTGCCCTTTGATGGGGGTGTAGCGTCGAATGTGAGCTTTTTCGATGACATCACCGTACGCAGGCCAGCCCGATTTTCAATAACAACCGTTACGTAATATTCTCCCCAGGAATCAGGTCTGAAAGGTCCAATAGCACCTTGTAAAGATAGGCCTGCTAGTACTGGGCCACTTCCACAAGTTTGAGGATTCGTCTGCAAACAGTATGCACTGCTACGTATTCCACTTTCGGGATCTTTAACGCCACTCCAAGAAACGCTTATTTCAACCATTTGCGTCTCTTGATCGACAACTGTGTGTGACACTGAAACTTCAGCCTTCAGTGGTGGGCTGGGATCTACAGTAAATCCATCGGAATGTTCCACTGAGCTAAGGCCACTCAAAGTTGTGCCTCGTACGGTTACATAATATTTTACACCACTCTTTAATACATCTATGACAGGAATTTCTGGTGCCAAGTCTTTTTCTATGATCCTCTTTAGGCCAATGTTTAGATAAGAGAGGATATCTTCTCTGCCCGGACTTGTCCCGATGGCTATCTCGTAACTAACAACAGGATCTTTAATGTCAGAAACAAATGGGTCCCAGTTGGCACCTATTACTTTTGTATTGTTGAGGTAATCGAGGTCTGTCCCCATTACCACACCGTCTCGAACGCGACCAGGAACAGGCCAAACGGTTTTTACATGGAAGCCATCAGACCGTGCAGTGGCCTGCATCTTCGCTTTATTCCAGCAAGTCAATACATTAAAGTATGTAATGCTCTTGTCAATGCCAAGATCTCTGTATGTCTTACTGTCTGTGAAAACAATTTTCTCCAAGGAAATAGAGTTGCTCGTAATATTCTTCTCGAACCGAACAACGTCATTGATATCTTTAATGGTCCAAATACATGACTGCACGCCACTTTCAGGGTCTTCCACGCCTAAGCAAGACACAGAAACGTTCCAGTTCTCAAGAACAGCAAAGGAGTCCATTCCTGCTATTTGGCTTCCGTCAATAACACCGTCAATTGAGGGAGGAGTGCTATCGAAAAGCATTCCATCTGAAGAAACTGTTTTCGATAGACCGGCCCCATTGGTTACGCAGACTGTCACAAAAACCCTTTCTCCCTCTTTTGCGACACATTCTGGGCAAACAAAAGACTTGTTCTTGCCAGTGTATGTCATTGCTTTAATCTGGCAACCGTAGGGGCTAGTCCCTACACAGTACTTACTCTCTGAAATGCCACTTTCAGGATCTGTAATATCTTCCCACCGACCTGAAAATTCCATACCAGATGAGAAGAAATCGATATCTTCGTCATATTTGCCATCTTTTACATCTTTGCTCTCGGCAAGTGGTTGTGATGTATCTATCTTGAGACCAAGCGACGTAATATTAGAACTTAGCCCGGCCTGGTTTCGTGATATTACTGTGATGAAATATGTTTCTCCATGAGATAATCTGAGGTTCGTCTCCGTTAACTCAGTGGCTAATCCAACATTTTTAAAAGGAATAATATCGTCTTTGTATGGTTCGCTGCCGATCGCACAGAAGTAGCTCTCTACATTACTTTCGTCGTCTGCAAATGGAGGCCATGACGCAGTAATCGAAGTGTTGTCAGACTGATACTGGAAAAACCCGTAAGGTGATACACCTGCTACAATAGGGCCTTTTGAAAAGGGTGGTGTATTGTCTATCACAAATAACGCAGAGGACATAGAAAAAAGACCAGCATTGTTGATGCACTTTACATGGGCAGTGTATTCACCACGATGAAGCGTAATATTACCGGGTATCGTAAGATTACCTGAGGAGGCATTGGATGATGTGGTGAATAATGCTTTTCCAGCACCGTCAAGTACTGAAACGTTGCATGCTCTTATACCACTCTCCTGATCTGTAAATCCTTCCCACGACATGGAGACGTTAATGTTGCTGAGAAACGTTTTATTTGCAGTTTTACTTGACGCTTCTTCGAAATCGACTTTTCCTGACTGAGGCGGCGTTCTGTCAAAGATGAATGCATCAGAGCACGATTGTGAGACAAGACCAGCTCGGTTTCTGGCCGTCACAGTGACAAAATATTTCACTCCAGATCTAAAAACCAAGTCTGTCTTTGAACTGTTGACGTAGTTTGATTGCCCGATGTTTATAAGCGGTTGGACTTGAGTCCCACACTTGCTTGTACCTATAGCCCATTTGTAGTACCAAATTTCACTCTCAGGCTCAGAAAATTCGTCCCAATAAACATGAAAGGCAGACGTATCATCAGAATAGAAGACTTGCTCCTGATCGTTGTAGTTCCACTTACTATTAGACCCAGAGCCTGGGTAAATTGCGTTAGGGATTGGTGGAGTCCCATCTGCAACAATGCCATCTGAAGAAAGTTCTCTAACACCTCCCGCCTGATTTGTGACCTTCAAGTGCACATAATATTTTTTACCACTGATCAAGTTTAGATTTCCGTGACTTCTGACGTGTGTTGAGAGACCAACATCGGTGTAGTTTAGAACACTGGTTTTGTCATGATTGCTAGTGCCGATACTCCATTCAAATTTCTCAATTCCGCTGTCTAAATCCCAGATTCCTTCCCAGTTTGCAGCAATACTTGTTAGAGAGGACTGATAATTCCTATCAGGTGCCATGATCCCATCATGCACTACACCATGGCTTGGAAGGGAAAGGTCAATTAGGACTCCGTCAGAACTTATGCATTTACGAAGTCCGGCTTTGTTCAAGGCACAGACAAGAACATAATAGACACCATCTGTAAGTGTGAGGCCAGTCATAGCAGCCGAAGTGTTCATTCCAACGTTTTGAAACGGGAGAATATTGGGTACACCTGCACGATTTCTGCTCACTCCATACTCATAACGCTCAATTCCAGACTCTGGATCTGCAAACTCGTCCCACTGAGACGATAACGTTGTGTTACTCTCCTGAAAATCAAGGTCTGAACCAGTGTTTCCATCACGAACTTGAGCCTTACGTGCACTTGGAGGCGTCGCATCAGCGATGAAACCATCTGAAGATACTTCCAAACTCACTAACCCTGCTTTGTTTTCAGCCTTGAGTTTTACACAGTACTTCTGGCCATTCGTCAGCGAAACATTGGCTAACACGAATGAAGTTGTTGTTGAAGGGGTAACTTCGATGAATGTGTTACCAGTAACGTGATAGTTTCCTGTCATACAGCTTCCTACTGCGAGATAGTACTGTTTGACTTCAGTGTGCAGCTCTGGGAACTTTGTCCAGGAAGCATAAACATGTCTCAAATCAGCCTGATAGTCGACATCTATCTGGGGATTAGGTCCATCGAACAGATATCCAGGGGAAGGGGGGGTGGAGTCAGGTACGATGAGTACCGAGCGGGCATCTTTAAATCTATTTGCTCCATTGTAAGCCCTTATGATGAAAACGTAACCTTTTCCTTGAGTCAACGCCAAGCCACTGAAACTTGCGGACGTTGGCAAATTAGGTCCTGGCACAATTTTGAAGTCAGAGTCCATTGGTGTACTATCCGAGGGAACAATGGCCCAAAGGTAACTCTTGAGACCACTATGAGCATCGGAAAAACCCAACCACTTCACTCTCACTGACAATATACTTGGTATGTAGACACAAGGGGTGCCATTAAGAACGTCATCCTTACCAGTTACTGTAATTTTTCCTGTAAACACTGGATGTGTTGTATCCACGTTAAAGCCATCCGAAGTCACGTCAACGCTCAGACCAACTGCATCGATTGCCTTCACAATAACGAAGTACTTTATGCTATTACTCAAAGTCAGCCCATTATGGGTTATGTTCGTTGAATTTCCTGCTGATGTCCATGGAACGATGGTGCTACCACTGCTATCCATAACTTTGTACTTGTACTCCGAGATGCCGCTTCCTTTGTGCCCGTCTGTGAAGCCATGCCAGTTTGCCGCGATCATGGTATTGTCTGATTGATAGTCAATGTCACTGAAGTGCCCATCGTTGACAGTGCCGGCGTGTGGGGCATCATGGTCTATTAGTAAACAGTCAGACTTTACTTGGCTGTACAGACCAGCTTTGTTGTAGCCTCTGACAACTGCGCAGTAGCTTTCCTTGGAAACAAGATTCACGTTATCCACTGTGGACGAACGGTCCTGGGCTGTGGCCTTAAAAGTGGTTATGAGACCGGTACCTTCTCGCTGAACCGCCAACGTGTAGCGTGCTATGGGAGAATGTGGATCGGTGAACTGTTCCCAGTTTGCGATGAATGTGCTCGTCCAGTTGGCGTACTTTAAATCCCTGCCAATTTGGTTACCGTCATTTACCTTCCCCGCAATAGGCGCTGATGTGTCAATTATAACTCCATCGCTTGTGAGTTCCGAAAACAGGCCCGCTTTGGTGAAGACTCTGATGATAAATATTACTTTGGAACCATCTTCCATGTTGTCGAAACCCCTTTGTGCGTTAGTATTGAGGTTTGCTGTAGTAAACGGCATTAGCTCGATGGTTTTGTTTGTGACCAATAAGGTAACAAGAACTTTCCATTCATACTTGCTGACGCCGTGTCTTGCCTGTACTCCCCCCCAGTTCACTTGCAGGAATTCAGAAGCTTGATAACTTAGGTCGACTCGAGGTCCATCGTGGACCCATCCACCTTGTGGCTTTGAGGTATCTATAACTACGGCTTTACTGCAGACTGGTTGGTAAATTTTCCCTCTCAAGTCGGATGCCCTTATGAATATTTTATAAGATGTCATATCTTGGAGGCTTAGTCCTCTAACAGTTTGATATTCGTTGTTACTTTTTAAAGTTCCGCTTATATTTGCATTAAAAGAACAAGGTGACGAGCCCAACAGTAAGGACCATCTGAGAGAGATGCTACCACACGTCGATGAAAAGCCGGAAATCTTCAGAAAAAGTCTGTCTGTGATATATTGGTACTGAATTGGCGATTGTTGCTTTGAATCGACAATTTGCACCTCGCCAATTTTAATGAAAATGCCATCTCTCACTATTCCAGGGCAGCTTCCAAGGATACCATCACACCTTATGAACAAAGAACGTGATAAAAAATCTGAAATTTCAACAGGAACTAAACATGAAGAGGTCGTTGTTGCGCAAATGAGTTCTCCTGTCTGCTATCCTTTCTGCTTAAAAAGAGGAGAGTTGCTTTACACGTTTGAGCAAATCTTTGAAATAGCCTTTCATTTCTCGAGTTGCATATTTTCGTTTCAACCTCCACAGAGCTCTATTCTTCCATACATGTTTGAATAAATTTCCTCCTTGTACTAGCCAAGATACTGCAATCAGTCTCGTAAAAATGACAGTTTATGTGCATGTACATCTTTTATCTTACCTCTCCGGTTGATCACAAGCGTCAAGAGCAGGTCGACAAATGGTTCTATTTGACTTCAGTGAAGGCCTGCAAGTGCCATCCCCAACACATTCAGAGGCCTTAATACAACTTGGTGTTGGTTGAGACGAGTGACAAGAGTATCCCAGACCTGCACACCTGGAAGGGCAACAAATAAGTTACTGAACTGTTTTATTACAGTCGCTATCAACCTGTGCGGCGAATCTTCAGTCTGAAACTCAGTTTTACTAGAGCACGAGTATCAATAAGAATTCAAACGTTGACTAAGAATGAAACTGAAATATACCCATCTACAAAGAAAAGGCTCAATGGAAATGAAAATAAACAAAACAAACAAACAGGCAAACAAACAAACAAACATTGTAAATTATAGGTCAGACTTAAAATTAGGCTTGCATCTGCGACATCCAAATCAAAAAGACATGATTTCATGCCAGATAATGGAATCCCCCGGTTTCAGAGGGATACCAGTAGCAAAATATAATCCCTTCCACTAGTAATAATTATGAAGTGAATGCGCTAACGTTGAACCAGGGAAAGACAAGAGGGCATTATTTCGAATTCGATGAATAAACAATTTGACAAGCGAGATTTGAAATACCGCACCTGCCAGCGTTACACGTATCTTGCATTGTGCATTTGTTTCCATCGTCGCAAGGCACCGCTGGACGATTACTCCAAGCGCTGTTGGCACGAGCTGCCGTATCATACAGGTCACACCACTGACACTGATTTGATGGATTTACGGCTTGGTGACTATAGTCTCTGTCTAAGGGAGGTAAAGTATCGACATAGGAACGTCACTCAAAACTAAAGTAATGTTACAGAATATTGGATTCTGAAGTCTTTGAAGAAAAAGTTGAAAACCAAATTTTACATTCTGCTCTGCAGCAGAACTAGATTTGCTGATGGTTCTCGTGTTGTCAACAAACGATTTTCTTATCAAAGTCCATGGTTTGAAATAAAATTTTAAAAATTGTAGACAAGGAGTTTGTTTGGGTGAGAGCCAACTCAAAAGTTGAAACTCATTCAATCAACATAACCAGCAAACCATCGAAAGAGCTTAAAGGAACCTGTTACTGCCAAAGAGTGTATCAGTTACCTGCTATTTTGCACATGCACGTTTTATTCACCAATCCAAATCCAGTTTTCAGGGTGCAGCTGGTGCCATTACAGAATTGACAAAGGGAGTTGCAAGTGAAGGGAATGCCACTGCACTGGCCGCCGATGCATTTGTCTCCACGGGTGCACCTATTCCCATCATCACATGCCATACCATCTCGATTTGACCATGCGTTGTTGTTGCCTCCTGGATTACACCACTAAAAGTGAAAGAAAAGATTGAGAAAATATCATAGCATAATTTAATAAAATACTAAAGTCAGCTACTGCAAAATAGAAATAGATAGTTATATAAGCTGACTTCAAAACGGTTACAATTACATTGAGGTATCGTTGGTTTCGCACTAGCCTCTAAGTATGGAAAATGTCTCCTCTAGAACGAATTTTGATGATTGGCTCAAACAGTAACAAAACGGATAACATGGACCATCAAAACAATGCTAAATTTAAAAAGCGATCAATGGGATTTTAGGCACGGGAAAACATAGTGAGCAATTGCAAGGTGTTACATTTAAGAGGGTGAGGTTAGTTTTTAGAAAAATCAAACCAAAAACAATGCAATTGTAGATTACTTTAGTTTCCCAAAAAGGCCTTAATCAGCGATTTTATAGAAGAAGAGAAGTTGAATACAAAAGGAACTGCTGCACTTCTCTTTGAATTGATTAAAGAGGTAGGCTAGTTGTCAATTAAAGGCCAAACAAAACCGCTATTATCGTAATCCAGGAAATAATGTTCGCACGCTATTGGTCAAGGTGCGTCACGAGACCCAGCACGGCCTAATTAAATCTAGGGGAACATTTAGTGATAATTGTCAATCGATATCCCTCAAGTTTGAAACTTAAAAGGTACTGTTTTGAGTCACTACACACCTGACATGGATTTCCAGGTTTATACTGATTCCGAGCAAAGCATGTCTTTTGGCCAAGGTGCTGTATGACACAATAACCGGGTTTAATGGGACAGCCACTGCCATCATGTGCTTCACATGAGGGACAATTGTAGAATGTACCCACACATATTCCAGTCACACAGTGGTCGTCCTTGGTCCTCATGTTGTTGTCACTGCATGGCAGGTTGTTGTTGATAGTCCACTTGTTTATGTTATTGCTGTCACATTGCTGAAATAAATAACGTTTACTTATTCTTATGAATGACATTTCCTCTTAGCTGCAATATTTAATGGTCCGTTTCATTCAGATTGTAAACTCAACTCATCTAGCAAAAATACAAAAAGTGAAATTTATATAATCCACTGTTATGCAAATTATAACCTTTTTATGGTCCAGCAAACAAAACAGGAATCGCAAATTATTGTGTCTTGCTCACATTTGTGACACCCTTTGGCTATCAAACCATGCATATGTGAGATGTGATGATTTTTCATGCCTGGGTATGATTACAGAGCAATGCACTTTGTGTAGGTTAACTGCGTCTGAAATGTTTCATTGCGAGTCAAAACGTAGTATCTAGATTGCTTGCTTTTGTCATCACCTTAGCCTCAACTAATGAGGATAAATTATTGTACTCCATATGAATCTGATAAAAAAAAATCGGCTGAGATTGACTCCTTTGGCTTTATTATATATGATGATTCACTTACACCACAATTACCTGGCATGGATATCCTGGCCTCAGTTCGCCATGAGAAAAACAGGTTCTCACTCCTGCCACTATGATAATACAGTGTCCAGGCTTGATGCGGCATGCATCGTTGTAACACTCTTCACATGATAAGCATGAGAATGGCGTACCAATACATCTTCCATTGGAGCAGTGGTCGTTTCTAGTACAAGCAACGCCATCATTGCATGGCAAAGAATCATCATTGGTCCATGATTTTTGCTTGGAAGTATGGCATTTCTGAATTGATAAAGAAGGTGCGAAGGTCATTGTCAACTTAAAGGCAAATCAACTTTTTCGTGCAGCAAGTAATTTCCAATATTTCTCCCTGGTTTGCCTAAGGCATGGTTATTATATTTAGAAATTCTGCATTGTTGTGCTCAGTGTTGCTGTACTTCGCTCTGTGATCAGTCTATAAAACTTGTCCCACCCTCTTCAGATCCAAGACTTGAAATCCAAGACTTGAGAGCCAAGACTTGAGATCCAAGACTTGAGATCCAAGACTTCAGCCTACTTATGCTCCCTTCACACCAGCAAAGATGTTTAGTTAAACCAGGTTAAACTAAATGAAAATCAGGTTCAGAAAACTAACAAAAAACTTAATTTCCTGGGGTCTCAAGTTATCACTAACTTATATTTTCATCGTGCTAAATTCGAAGTCGACGAACACCATTGCCAGCAACTTTATGAAAAAATTTTTAAACTGTGTTTGACAAAAGCACTTCAAAATATAGTACATAATTTGTTATGAATGGGGTGTTAGTCACTTGGGACTCGTGATACTTGTTTTTCTTTGACATCTCACTTCGTTTTGAGGGGCCTTCGTGAATACTTTTAGTTTTAGCTACACGTCAAACAGTTGAAAAGTGTTTTATAGCCCGTTACGACTTATGAAGATTTCTAGCTTGCAACTCGCTGATACTCTACGCACCAGTTAAGAGGTGAGACCTGTGTTTAAGGCCCTCTTACTCTCTGGTAATTATAATATCAACACATAGCAATCGGGCTCAAGTAAAAAAAGGAAAGAAATTTGCCTGAAAGGCATCGTATCTATACGTAAGTTACTTATACCTTTAAACGTTAATATTGATAAGCTTTGAAAGATCATTACCTGGCAAGAATTGGATGGATTTATAGTCCCGTATGAAAAGCACTGATGACCATTTATTTGACACTGCCTCAGCTCACATTGGCGGTCAAGTTTTGTATAACATGGGTGACATTGGCAAGTAAAACTTCCATAAGTGTTATGGCAAATATGTTGGCATGGGTTTGAGTGACACTCGTTGACATCTGATGAGAAAAAGATATTTAACATCAGTTTATGTTTTGTTCTAAATGAGTCGCTTATTTAAGAACAAAAAAAAGAATTGCCGAGGAAATTTATTTTGGAAAATCGGTGTTGAATACAAAGCTAATGAGATAAACGCATATTTAAATCCCATTTAAGCTTCACAAGCACATCAGCCTATGAATAATGCTTATTGATGCAATTGTATATTTCGCAGGTACAAGATGTAGAAAGTTCGTCCTCGTGTACGAAAATAGGATGAATTTTCTGAAAGAATAAGAAATCTGTGGTCATTCAAAGATGATTTCCCTTTAAAAAACACACCATCACAACTCAGGTAAGGTGAATTTCACTTCAATCCAGAGGTATGAGCGCATGGCAAATCGAGCAACCAGAGCGTTACGTTCGCGAACAAAAGGCAGAGGCGCAAGTTTTCTGTGCAAGCTAGAGAACAATCTCACAATTAAAGATTTTAAATCCAGCACCGAAGTTTCTTTGTATTTCTTCGAAACACTAACAGCAATAATCTGCTCCCATGAAGTGGTATTATGACCGTAATTCCGGACAAAATCGATTCGACTTCATGATTTAGTAGCAGCAGATGATGACACGATGCTTAGTCTTTACCGCCTTTATTTGTTCCATGAAGAAAGGAAAAGAAAATTAAATCAATGGAATCCGTAATCGTTAAACGCTTTAGCTCACTAATGAGCGTATGCTGCAAAAGCTAGAGAAAAACAGGGAGCACTTTTAATCGAAATTTTTCCTAAATTTCCACCCAGCGAAGGTTTGCACAGAGCTGTTCAGACTTATCTATTGAGGTTCTGTCTTCCTTGGACCCCTTAACTCCGCAGAGTTATAAGCATCTACTATCTCCTTACAGTATTACTATTAAATCAAACAAAACGGTTATGAGAAAAAAAGCGGAAATCACCACCAAACTAAAGAAGTTTTTGACCGTTCTGTTAACCACATTTTCCTTGTCAATACTATAGGAATTGTGTGGAGAACAGAATGGGGAATATGCATGCTGATGTAAAAGTGTAAAGGGTTAAGTTAAAGACAAAATCACTTTGAAAAACTATCAGGGATCTCCATCATCACTTGTGAGAAGTTTCAGAAAACAGGCTGAAAAAATCGTAAGCGTGCTCAATGAATTTCTACCGTGCGAAAGGGAAATAAAAAATATTTCGCCCTAAAAGAGGTAAGTTCCGTTTGCAAAACTCACTTCCTAGAGCGCGACCTAAATATTTGCCCTTATGCTTTTTCGAGAGAAATGACATGTTTTTCTTAAACACGAGCGATTATTTCCTATTCCACGGGCTATATTTCGAATACATTGTATGACAGGATTAATTAATTGCGAAGGAAAGGCGAGTTATTAGACTATTCCGCTCTTAGTGGTGATAATCAATTCACTTGGGCGTAACTCGGAATGAGTTTCAGCACTGTCTCTCAGTCTGTTTTTTGTCTAGTCTCGTTCTCTTTGCCGCCACCGCCGTTGTCTGATTGAGGTCACAACGAACGATTTCCTACCGACAAGCACCTCCTCGCAGAGATTCGTCAACCGTTAGACTTTAGCTCATTAAGCAGCGGTTAGTTCAATGAAGAAAAAACAAGCCAACTAAATTAAATTTAGTACTTAGAGCGTGAGAACTCACCAGCCCTGCAGCACGTTCCAGTATACCCTGATCTGCAATAACAGCCCGAACTGTGCGGTCGGCCATAATTTGCACACAGCCCTACATTGCACCTCTTTGATTCGCGCATATGAAATGGACACTGACCGCAGGAATTGTGAGAGCTAGTCACACGGCGCGTTCTCCACTGTATACCACCAGTCCCACAGGGAGAAGAACAACTGCCCCAGTTAGACTATCCACTAACTCTGCAATCGCTGGGGATGCAAACCGGTGTCCTACGACGTCGCCGTCGACGTCGCCTTCTCCATGACCGACATGTTTCAATAAAGAGCATTTCGATACAAAACCAGAGAAACACAGTCGTTACTTTTACCATTTTTGGCCGAAAAGTGCCTCTCTTTCCTTTAAGCGTTACACTCAAGCAGGACCGAGCAAGCGACCTTTTCACGAATCTCCTCAGCCGGCGTTAATTCCGCAATTTGTAAAGGGAAGTGGCTACTTATTTTACGTTGTAGCCGAAAACTGTGACCCATGACCTCGCATCAGCAGCTGAAAACAGATCACAAGGAAGCACATCCATTTCTTGGCTCTGCTAGATTTACTGTCATATATCCAATCTTCAATCTATGCCGCCAAAAATAATAATCAAAAAATAATAAACGGACATGACCTTACGACATCGAAATAGCGGAAAGTGCTACGGAAGTTCTAAGTTTTCGGGAAAGAACTCATTAAGTTTATTGAGGACCTCACGTGGACAGGAGGGCAACGCCGAGGAAAACATGGATTAGAATAAAATGAATTTTCTTTAAGAGTTTCACCAATGGCGGAATGTTTACCGTCTCTTACGGCGCTAGACGTCATCCTCGGAATAATAGATGGGAAGAGCTTTAAATTCTACTGATACAGGCGAACCTGTATTAAGCGGCAGCATATTAAGCAATCACTCCGTATTAAGCGGTCGGTTTTCAAAGTTCCGACATTTTTATCCTGTTATTACTGTTATTTCATCTCCTTTAAATGGTCACCTTAATGATGCGGTCGTGGTCACTTTTTCTCTACAACGGCCTATTGTTATTGCCCTCCACATATGCCGAACATTCACTTGAAGTGCAACCACTCAAATAGAACTAAGAATAATCTATCGAGTAAAATAAAATCCACTTTTATCTTCTAAATACAATGGTAGTGATATTTTTCAGCAATTTTTTTTGGGTAATTTATTGGTCATTTCATTTCCGGTGGGTGACCGCTAAATACAGGTTGGACTATGATAAAATAAATAATTCGCAATTGGGTTCCAGTCTCTTGACCATTTTAGTGATTCCAATAGTTATTTTTCAGAAGGCAATTTGGAAAAGCTCAAAGATTTAAACGCTCATGCTGTTACTGTTCTGCTCATTGATTCTCTTGTCTCACCGCTTTCTTGTTGCTATTACAGTTGTGGTGTGTCCCTAATAACAGCTCAAAAGGAAGTAACTGTCATGGATTAGCAATTCTGCATTTACATTTAGCTATTTAGAAATTGGAGAGAGAGCCAGTTTAATAATATTTTTACAAAAAGACAGTTTTCCTGGCCTAAGTATTTTTTGACGAGAAATTTGAGAAGGGCATGTTGTTATTCATTTCCTGGAGGATGCACCCACGTACCAGCGTAACCTATGACATCGTTACAGCAAATGTATGAAAATCCACGCCGTTTTTTATTTACAGATTAGTAGCGATTATGAGGCAAGCTTCAATGATTGTTTCGTGGTTGAATCCAGAGTGCTATTTTCTATATAATAACGTTTCAGTTGCTATGGAATCGCTGCAACAGCACCTGGTGATTTAAATTTAGAGTTATTCTAAGCTGAAGTAAATGCAGTTAACGCACAGATATCAACACAACTGAATTCATCAAATTCATTAAAAAAAAGAAACAGTCCCTAGCAAAATGGGATCGACTGCTTATCTCTTGAGGGTAATTTTAAAAAAGCATGTTGTTATTTATTTTAAAGATTATGAAACCTGTTCACGGTGTGACCCATGCAATCGTTGCAGCGTGATCGGGATTAAGCTGGCAGCTTAATCAGTGTTGATGTGATTAACAGGCTTATTAAACTAATTATCACATGATAAACCGAGTTAAATTTGATCTCGAATCTATTGTTTGTTGTTTGAAATCATTTCCTGCTACAACACTTCTAACCAAGAAGAAAATGAAGGACATATCGTCATGTTATCAACATCGCAAACCACAAGCCACAATGCACTACAAGGCACACACATCTGCTAGAACTGAGACAATAATATTTCTAGAAACAGCACCTTGGATAAAGTAGCCAACTTCCATATCTAACAAAAGGAAATTTCTCACTGTTCAAAGGGCAAAGAAATAAAAGCGAAAACTTTATTTCTACTATAATATTATTGCACTATCTTGTTACTAAGAATTACCGCCTTAATATCACACATATCGGAAAAAAAAAATAGATTTGACCCCAAGATATCGTTGCAGAGGAGAGTAACTCATTATTAAATTGCGGATGCTTTAAGTTTGGCCATAGTAACAGAATACGGTCGAATAGTTTTGCTGTAGCTTTATACGAAAAACTAAAGCCTCGGAAAAAATTCAAGAAAAGAGACTCATTTTACCAACATTCCAAATGAGCCTATTCCTACGAGCTGGCAGTGCACACTGCACGAGGCTCCAAGTCTACAGAAAGAGACGGTTTTCAAATTCATCCCATGTTAAGTTATCAGGATAAAACAGCTGATAACGTAGTGTAGTTAGACCGATATTTTAAGTTATTTTCGGTGTGAAATTCGAGAAAAGTTACCGACATTTTACCAACACTCCTAAATGCACCTAGGCCTACGAGCTTGAAAAGATTGAGTTCACCATTTCATTACTAGATCACGTTCATTAACGTCGGTGACGTCTGCTACAAAATGTGCAACAGGTTTCAGTAAATAGCGTAACAATGCAAACCCACAATAGAAAAGTCGTTATTTTTGCCATCTTACGCACAAAATTGATCTTCTCTTGCTTCAAACAGAACCAACGTTATCCTCTTTTTCCACGTACATTTCATCAAATTTTCAGGCACAGCATTCGTCCAGAAGACTCACACTTAACTCTTGACTTCCTGCAGGCTCCTTATTGCAAGCGTGATTAAGTATTCCTCTGTCGCTGCACGCTATCAGAAGTTACATGCATTTAGAGCTGCAGATTATGGTACTTAAATTGAAAAATTGGAACAAATAAATAAATAGCGGGAGATTTCACTCGCCCATTATCCTTTTGAAATCTTTCTAGTTTTTTTTAAAATATTGCACAATAGAAACTCATCGCGTCTCAATTAAAAAAAAAAAAGCGTCAGGATGAAGTTGAAAATGTCAGTACTTGTCAATACCAAAGGGATTGAACAATGAACAGCATGTACAATATGCATACTGAAGATAGGTTGTAAAGGGTCTAACTGAGGACAAAATCATTTCAAAACGAAACAAGGATCTCCATCATTAGTTAAAAAGAAGTTTCAGCAAGCAAACTAGACAAATAATAGATGTGCTCATTGAATGTTTACCGTACGAAAGGCAAACGAAATTGGTTTTGTGTAGCCGGGAAGTTATAATTTCCGCTTTCAACAATTGTGTCTTAATTTGCGACCACAATGCGCCCTAATGCTTTTTCGATAAAACACGTTGTACGACAGTTAGAAGCTTCACTAACCGCTAAAGAAAGACGAGTAAAGAGACGATTCCGTTCTTTCAAGTTATCATTAGGTTATCACCCTTTAACTCTCAAGATCCCAATAGTGATTCTCCTTACTCTCTGCCATACAACTCTTACGATGTTACCTCAGAGATTTTGGCATTGGATCAACTGTCCCATCGATTAATTTTTTTCCTATATTCTCATCCTTTGTGCGCTTGATTTCGTGTAGATACTGTATGGAGAAATTCTGTCTTAGTCACTCATGGCCGACTCACAATTTCAAGCCGACAAGGACTTCTCCTTAGTCAGAGGAAAGTTAACCGACAGATTTAGCACAAATCACGACGTTTTCACGGTTAGTTCAGAGAAGAAATATAGGCAGACTAAGAACTCACCAGCCTTGCAGCACGTTCCAGTATATCCTAATCTGCAATAACAGCCCGAACTGTGCGGTCGGCCATAATTTGCACACAGCCCTATATTGCACCGCTTTGATTCTCGCATATGATATGAGCATGAACCGCAGTGATTCTGAGAGATGGTTACATGGCGCGATCTCCACTGTACACCACCATTCCCACAAGGATAAGAACAACTGCCATAATTTGACCAATGGCTAACAACGCAGTTGCGGGGAACACAAGGTGGAGGTGGAGCCGGCCTGCGACGTCGGCGACGTCTACTCCAAAATGCGTAACAGGTTTCAGAAAATAACATGACAATGCAAAGCCACACTAGAAAAGTCGTTATTTTTGCCATCCTACGCACAAAGATGGTTTTCCCTTGCCTTAAACAGAGCAAATCTTTCCTCTTTTCCGGGTTATATTTCATAAAAGTTTCAGGCACAACATTCGTTGAGAAGACTCACGTATGACCCCTTGACCTCCTGCGAGCACTTTACTGCAAGCGTGATCGAGTATTCCTTTGTCGCTGCACGCAATCAGTTTTTTGTTTGTAAAAGCTAGAAAGGCTATATTGTTACACAAAAGCAAAATTACATGCAATACGAGCGGCAGATTACGGGGCTTAAATTGAAAAGTTGGAAAACAAATAAACAATTAGTGGTAGATTTTACTCGCCCATTTTCATTTTGAAATCTTTCTAATTTTTTTCAAATAGTGCACAAAAACAATTCATCGCGTCTCATGTCTCATTCAAAGAAAGCGTGAGGATGAAGTTGAAAATGTCAATATTTGTCATGACAATAGGGGTTGAATGAAGAACAGTATGTACAATACCCATACTGAAGATAGGGTGTAAAGGGTCTTATTCAGGACAAAATCATTTCAAACGAATCAGGCATCTCCATTATACATAAAGGCAAAATAACATGCAAGAGGAGATTACGGGATGTAAATTGAAACACAGCCAAACAAATAAA